TTACTATAGGTCTTTACCAGGTTTGCACACACAGTAGCTGGTATTTTGGCCCATTCCTCCATGCAGATCTTCTCGAGAGCAGTGATGTTTTGGGGCTGTCGCCGAGCAACACGGACTTTCAACTCCCGCCACAGATTTTCTATGGGGTCGAGGTATGGAGACTGGCTAGGCCACTCCAGGACTTTCAAATGCTTCTTACGGAGCCACTCCTTTGTTGCCCGGGCGGTGTGTTTTGGATCATTGTCATGTTGGAAGACCCAGCCTCGTTTCATCTTCAAAGTTCTCACTGATGGAAGGAGGTTTTGGCTCAAAATCTCACGATACATGGCCCCATTCATTCTGTCCTTAACACGGATCAGTCGTCCTGTCCCCTTGGCAGAAAAACAGCCCCATAGCATGATGTTTCCACCCCCATGCTTCACAGTAGGTATGGTGTTCTTGGGATGCAACTCAGTATTCTTCTACCTCCAAACACGACGAGTTGAGTTTATACCAAAAAGTTCTACTTTGGTTTCATCTGACCACATGACATTCTCCCAATCCTCTGCTGTATCATCCATGTGCTCTCTGGCAAACTTCAGACGGGCCTGGACATGCACTGGCTTCAGCAGCGGAACACGTCTGGCACTGCGGGATTTGATTCCCTGCCGTTGTAGTGTGTTACTGATGGTGACCTTTGTTACTTTGGTCCCAGCTCTCTGCAGGTCATTCACCAGGTCCCCCCGTGTGGTTCTGGGATCTTTGCTCACCGTTCTCATGATCATTTTGACCCCACGGGATGAGATCTTGCGTGGAGCCCCAGATCGAGGGAGATTATCAGTGGTCTTGTATGTCTTCCATTTTCTGATGATTGCTCCCACAGTTGATTTTTTTCACACCAAGCTGCTTGCCTATTGTAGATTCACTCTTCCCAGTCTGGTGCAGGTCTACAATACTTTTCCTGGTGTCCTTCGAAAGCTCTTTGGTCTTGGCCATGGCGGAGTTTGGAGTCTGACTGTTTGAGGCTGTGGACAGGTGTCTTTTATACAGATGATGAGTTCAAACAGGTGCCATTCATACAGGTAACGAGTGGGGAACAGAAAAGCTTCTTACAGAAGACGTTACAGGTCTGTGAGAGCCAGAGATTTTCCATGTTTGAGGTGACCAAATACTTATTTTCCAGCCTAATTTACGAATAAATTCTTTACAAATCCTACCATGTGAATTCATGGATTTTTTTTTTTTCCACATTCTGTCTCTCACAGTTGAAGTGTACCTCTGGTGCAAATTACTGACCTCTGTCATCATTTTAAGTGGGGGAACTTGCACAATCGGTGGCTGACTAAATACTTTTTTGCCCCACTGTACTAGAAAACAGAAACAGAAACGTCTTTCTGAATTGATACACCTTATTTCGCAATTGGATGAGCAACACTCTACAACCCCCTCTCCAGATTTGTATAAACAAAGACTAACGTTACAAACTGAATTTAATTTAATCTCAACCCAGCAGTCAGTCTATGATTCTTAAATCTAGAGGAAGATGGTATGAACACGGAGAAAAAGCATCTAAAATTTTAGCACATCAGCTTCGTAAATCAGAAGCAACTCGTATAATCCCTAAAATTAGGACTAAATCTGGACATGTCACCACTACACCACAAAAAAAAAATGAGAGTTTCAAAATATTCTATTCCAGTCTCTATGATTCTGAATCTTTAAACACGCCTGGACTGTTTGAGGCTTTTTTTTGATGTAATGACAGTTCCGACTTTAACCTCGGCATTCAGAGGCCAATTGGAGGAGCAAATTACAGTGGAAGAAATTAAATTGGCGATTAGCTCAATGCAGAATGGCAAACCCCCGGGTCCGGATGGGTATCCGGTTGAATTTTTCAAGACCTTTAAAGTTTATCACCTTTATTACGAGACATGCTCATTGAGTCATTGGTTTCAAAATGTCTTCCCCTAACGCTTCGACAAGCGACCATCTCACTCCTATTGAAGCCAAATAAGGATCCATTAGAGTGTTCATTATATCGTCCTATATCACTCTTAAATGTAGATTTAAAAATACTGTCAAAAACACTTGCTCTCAGGCTAGAGCAATACCTACCATTGTTAATCTCTCCAGATCAGACAGGTTTCGTGAAGGGTAGGCATGGTTTTTTCAACCTGCGCAGGTTTTTAAACATATTACACACCAAGTCAACTACAACCCCTGAAATTGCCTTATTACTCGATGCTGAGAAGGCATTTGACCGGGTGGAGTGGGATTATCTGTTTTATACTCTACATAAATTTGGATTCGGCCCTAATTTCATTTCATGGATTCAGTTACTTTACTCCTCACCTATGTCACGTGTTAGAACAAATTCGTTATTCTCTTCTTATTTCCCACTTCTCCGTGGTACGAGACAAGGTTGTCCCCTATCCCCTCTTCTTTTTGCATTATCAATTGAACCACTGGCGATTAAACTGCGAGCTGACAGTTGCATTAAGGGCATCTTCAGACGTGACCAGGAGCACAAAATATCCTTATATGCTGACGACCTCCTGCTGTATATGTCAGAGCCTTTATGCTCTCTTCCCTGTGCTCTTGCCATTTTTGAATGTTTTGGTAATATTTCAGGTTACAAGTTGAACCTGCATAAAAGTGAACTTCTCTGTGTCAACTCTATAGCCAGAAAGATTTCATTTTCAGATTTTCAATTTAATGTTAAATCAGGGTATGTGACCTATCTGGGGGTTAAGGTTACCCACTCATACAAAGATCTTTATGAAAGAAACTTTGTCCCGCTGCTTAAAAATACTGAGACAGATCTTCAGAGATGGAACAATTTACCACTGTCATTAATTGGCCGCATCAATTCTATCAAAATGAACATACTACCCAAGTTCCTTTTATTTATTTCAATGTATCCCATGCTACTTACCCAATAAGTATTTTATAACACTGAATAAGCATATCTCTGCATTTATTTGGAATGGCAAAAGTCCACGAATTCGTAAAGATTTCATGCAGAGGACTAGGCCAATGGGTGGATTAGCCTTGCCAAACTTTCAGTCTTATTATTGGGCAGCAAATATTCGTAATATGCTGTACTGGATGAGTAATGTTACTACAGAGACTCCAGCTTGGCTCCAAATTGAGTCATCCAATTGTGGCGAAGTTTGCCTATCAGCTTTGTTGAGTTCAGCTCTCCCATTAGAACTATACACCTATAAACGTAACCCTTTGTTGTATGACTCGCTCAGAATCTGGGTGCAATGTAGGAAAAGGTTGGGGTTACACTTAATGTCAATTAAAGCACCTATCTGCTCAAACCATATGTTCCCACCCTCCATGATGGACTCTGCCTTTAAAATATGGGAAAGTAATGGCCTTAGAAATATCAAAGACCTTTTTGTAGATGGGATTTTTGCCTCATTCACGCAGCTCCTGAAGCAGTTTAATGTTCCTCGGCAACATTTTTTCCGCTATTTACAAATTCGTCACTTTGTAAAGAGTCGATTTCCTTCATTTCCAGAACTACCTGAGGAAACTTCTTTGGATAAAATTATTAATATAAACGTTCATAAGAGAGGGGCGATAAAAGAAATCTATGCTATACTATTAGATCTTCAATCTCCTTCTCTCTTCATCTTTAAAGCACAGTGGGAGAAAGACCTTGGGATGACTATAACAGATGAGCTCTGGCAATCTTTTCTCCAGAGGGTACACTCTTCTTCGATATGTGCCAGGCATGGGCTCCTTCAATTTAAGGTCCTACACCGATTACATATCTCCAAGGAAAAGTTATCCAAGTTCTATCCAGGAGCTGACCCTCTGTGTAACAGATGTAAAGCAGAAACAGGTTCGCTCCTTCATACCTTTTGGACATGCCCCAATCTTCATACCTATTGGGTGTCTATATTTAACACTCTGTCAGAGATGTATAACGTTAAATATGATCCTTCTGCTCTAACGGCTATCTTTGGGGTGATACCTCAAGACATCACTTCGAATTCTATTGCCTTTGCTTCACTTATCGCAAGGCGCCTTATACTTTTAAGATGGAAGCAGGAAGCTCCTCCCACACATGAACAGTGGCTTGCGGAGCTCATGAGGTTTTTACATTTAGAAAAGATGAGATATACATTGGCAGGTTCAACCACCAAATTTCTTAAGGCATGGCAGCCATTCCTGATGTACATGGAAACATTTAAAATGACCACCTTATCATGACCGGATGCCATATCTCTATATCACTATCATAGTTAACTGTACACTGAATGTCCCTTATACATTTTATTTTTCTATTTGTTTGTTGTTGTTTGTTTTTTCCTTCTCTATTTCTGTTATCTTTTGGGGTATTGTAAATACTGAACAGCAAACTACTGTATGTTCAATGTTTTGTTGTTAACATGCTGCTGTGACTGAAAATAAAATTTATTTAAAAAAAACTGTCTAAATTCTTCCATCTGTAATAAAATGATCAGCGCTGCTGCTTTACCAGGTGTAACTATGAAGTTTAACATCCATGGAAACAGGATTTATTACATTTAACAGAGTTAGAAGTTAGCAGGAAGTTGGCTCACTAGCTTCCACCTAAACATGCTGCATTCTCTATGCTGTTTAATTATTCATTTCAATAAAGAGCTTTCATTTCTTAGCCTGTTCATTCCAAGCAGACACAGTGGAGGACTATTGGCACAATGTAGCATATCACATCAGGAGAGTTTCCATTTGTTTCCTCATTTAAAAAGAACAAGGGGGCCACACTTACAGATGTTGCACAGATGACAAATTTCTTGTAAGAAAGCTGTCAGTTTCCATACTCCAGTCCCTGTAAACTGTGTAATGGAGTGGAGCTGAAGGCTTACTCGGAGTCTCTTTTGATGAATCCTTTCTTTCCTCTTGCATTCCTTGGATAGAAGAGTAACTCAGGTGAGCAGCTGTGTTCTCTGAAGTCAAATAATAAAACCAGATGTGTTGGGAGCAGCGGGTGAATGTGCCTTCTTTCTCTCTAATTTCCTCAGGTTGGCAATGAAACCGTATTGTCTACCACCATCATGTAACGGCTCGTGCACTGAGACCTATCTGCAGGGCGACTTCTCCTCTTCAGCACAGTTCTTTGTGTGTGTTGGTGTGTTTGCCTTCCTTTATTGCACCGCCACACTCATAGTCTACCTGGGCTACCGGAGCGTCTACCTGCAGACCAGCCGTGGTCCCGTCATAGTGAGTACACGTTTTGTAGAGCAGTGAGCATGTGGGTGCTACAGACGGAAGGTTTACTGCATGGTAACAAGACGACCAGTGTTACTGGCTTCATCTTGGAGTGGGTTTAATGGCTGATGGGTGTAAGCATCGGAGAAAGCTTTGTCCTCCTCTATGCTGCTTAAGTAAAAATGTTCACATCCTATAATCTGCAAATGTAACTCCACATCAGTGTGTCATTGAAAACTATACATGCATACATTGGTGAGCATTTGTGTTTGATAGGACCTGCTGCTGACCGCTGCCTTTGCCTTCCTCTGGCTCGTGTCCTCCTCGGCCTGGGGCAAAGGCCTGACCGACGTTAAATATGCCACTGACCCCAACCGCCTGGTGCAGTTGTGTACCAGCTGTAAAGCAGGAGAGTTTCCTTCCATGGGCAGGCTCAACGCCTCTGTGGTAAGTGTTGCTTACAAAGGCTTACATCGATGATATCAGTGATAGGGCTACGTTTACGGCAAACATGTAAAAAGCATGTTCTTGTAAGAATATGAAGCAAAAATAAGTCTGTTTTTGTACGTGAGGCTTTGCTCAACTGATGCTGATGTCGAAACATGTGCAACAAGCTGTTTGTTAAATAACTCGTTGCTGGTGCAGTAGGATGCATCGTGTACTGAATAACTGTAAGTCCTGTCCACAGGTCATGAACTCGTTCTCAACAGTCACAAATGTAACTCAACATAGCTCGTATTTTTCTACAAATATGCAGGTGCTTGTTTGTGTTATTGAACACGATGTTAGTTTTAGAAAAAAATGGTACTGAACAAAGACGAGCTTCAGATTGTGACTCTTACAGTACCATAGATCTGTGGAACAACAAACTCTCACAGTTTTTCCGGTTTGAATTTTGTAAGGCGCTCTGAGTAGGAGGCCATTCAGACCTTTAGATGGTTTGTTACAGCCTAGTGGACCAGGTCCAGTCACTGATGCTTCTTATAATTCATGTAACGTTTATACACAGGAAGAATGAACCAACAGAAAACACAATGAAGCAAGAAACTCTGGGTAGGCAGGTGTTACACAAAGATAAGGGAATGAAACCAGACGTGCACGCGGGCTGTGCAAACAGGCCAGGTTAGTTTAGCTGGATGTTCCTAGCAAACTGTTTGAAAAACCACTCAAAAATGCACATTTATCACATAGGGGAGAGACTTTACCAAAGGTTTCATTGAGTTTTGTCTTCGAGTAATGGAGTCTATGCAGAGCCTTAACCCTCCTGCCATCCTTTAAAAAACTCACACCCATCACCCTAGGGACCATTCTCAGCCACGCCATAAAAAGACCATATATCCATATTTTATTCCACTTTAAATTAGCCAACCTTGTAAAACTACTTCTCCCTGAAATATTCATGTAAAGTTTTAATTATATTTTCATTGTTTTAACCCTTCAAATCCCAGTGTTATTACATGAGCGCCCTGTGTTATAAGCCCCAAAAACCAAAAAACGAAACTAAATATTTCCACAAAAAACCAGTTGAAGTAATATGTGATTGTCATTATAAGTAGGCCTTTAGATGGACCAAAGATTGGCACCAACATACATTTTGACCTGCCATTATTTTTTTTGCATTTTTTTTGCAATTTAAAAATTAAAACTTCAAGGCCCTGAGTCTTCATTGACATCCAAGAAAAGAAGAAAAAATAAAATCATATGATGATAATTTGGGGTTGAAAAATAGCGTTTATAATGGAAGTCAATGGGCAGAAAATGGTCCCCAGGGTGATGGGTGTGGGGATTTCTGCTGCTCAGCCATTTTAGGCTGATTTAAGGAATTCACACTGGAATATTAACATTGACAGGTAAAAACTATCCTGTGGCAAGTTTGGTTATATTCCACTGAACACAGTGGAAATGGCAGCCATTTAACACATAGCAGTGGCACAAAATGGTCCCAAGAAGGCAGGAGGGTTAAACTGAATGAGCCCATACCTGGAGAGGCTCAGCACTGGCTCAGGCCCCTGTGGGAGGGGCTGCATTAACCAGCACAGTCTTTGACAAACTGGGAGATCAGATGTTTAGATTTTGGTTGCTTCAAAAAATAGAATAGAAATGGAAACTATGATTTTTAGGTTCAGCGTTAAGATCAGGGATGCACCCCCACATAAAATGTCTAATTCGATGATAACAAAAATGCGTCGGACGACAGCTCAGAGGACCCAGCTTTCTTAGAGTCCCAGGGTGGGGTGCTTGAAGCTGCTCCACCCGGGGACTCTGTCGTCCTACTGGTAGACTTCAACACTCATGTGGGCAACGACAGTTAGACCTTTAGGGTGAGACTGGGAGGAACGGCCAGCCTGACCTGAACCAGGGCGGTGTTCTGTTACTGGACTAGTGTGCAAAGCGCAGTTTGTCCATAACAAACACCATGTTTGACCGTAAGGCGGTCCCTAAGTGCACACGGCTCCAGGACACCCCAGATTTATACGTTCTGGACACTGGAGTGCAGAGAGGGGCTGAGCTGTCAGCTGATGACTACCTGCTGATGAGTTAGATCAGGTGGTGGGGCAGGACGCCGCACAGAGCCGGCGTATAGTGAGGGTGGGTCGAATGGGTTCGTACTTATTTACGTGCTGTAACTGGTTCACATTGAGTACATTAATTAAAATCAAATTTAGACTGAAATAAAGTCATTTGATTATATTAATATGGCACAATGTTTAGTTAGCTTTGCACAAACACAGCTGGTAGAAATATCCTCAAAATGTAAATAAATGTAGTCCTGGAACTTTTACCATGGCCACAGAGTTCCTGTAGGTGTACTGTGTGGTTGCCCCAGCATCTTTGTACATGCCAAAAGTATTCAACCATCTCTTTCCAGATCATTGGATGAAGATGTTTCACCTTCAACCACGTTGTATTAAAACGTGGCCTGATTCTTGCAGCATGCAGTCTTCAAACAGGTGAAGAGATGGCTCGCTCTCAGGAGTGTATGATACGATGCCACCTGTGCAACAAATCCAGCTGTGAATATTCCCTGCTACCGTCAGCTGTTAGTGGTATTATAATAAAGTGGACGCGATTGGTTCCCAATCAGCTTAGCCACAAAGCGGTAGGTCAGGTAAAATCACAGTGCAGGGTCAGCAGATGCCACCGAGCTTCACCGAGCTTCATGTGGCCTGCAGACTAGCTCGAGATCAGTGTATAGAGAGCTTAATGGAATGGGTTTGGCAGTCATGGCTGAGCAGCTGCACCCTAGTCTTACATAACCAAATGCAATGCAAAGTGTTGGATGCAGTGGTGTAAAGCATGTCACCACCAGACTTTAGAGCAGTGGAGACGTGTTCTCTGGAGCTACAAGTCACATTTGTCCATCCGGCAGTCCAATGGATGAGCCTGGGTTTGGTGGCAAGTGTTTGGTAGACGTGTGAAGAATAATGCTTCAGCATACCCAGACACTTTGGAGAATTCCATGTTCCCAACACTGTGGGAAAACGTTGGGTTATCATCCTGTTCCAACCTGACTGCACACTAGTGCACAAAGCAAGGTGTCTAAAGCTGAGCGAGCTTAATGTGAGAGAGCCTGACCTCAGTGCTGATGACCTTTGGGATGAGTTTGAGCCGACATCACTGTCTGACCTCACGAGTGCACTTCTGGAAGAATTGTCCAAATTTCCCATGAACATGTTGGTAAACCTCGTGCACAGCCTTCCCAGAAGAGCTGCAGATGGTGGGCCGATACCATAGTCAACCTGTGGATTAAAGATGCACATGCATGTGAAAGCAGACAAGCAAATATTCTTGGCAGTTATATCGTGAAGTGTTGGAAGCACCGCTGTCACCAGCTCATTGCACTGACCTCTAGCAGGCCTGTCAAACTTGTACAAAGGTATAACTCCCTATGTCAGTTAGTAATGGCCCGTCAGCATGTGGGAGCCCACTCTAGCCCTGCTGAGAATCCATGCAGGCAGGGGCGGGACTTTGTTTTGATGGGCACACTGTGCAGCCAATCAGCATGTATGTGCATGTAGCACAGAGCCATGGCTCAGTGTCTGAACGTGCTGTTGTATTTCTGAACCACAAACAAGCAGAAACTTTGCACCTTTAGCTGTGTTCATGTGTTCTACAGCTTGTTTACTGATGAAGCCGTCTCTTATTCATACTCCACAAAGTCATGAAACACTGAAACGTTTCCTTTGCACTACAGAAAGGAGCGTTTTGCTTACAGTTTCATCTTCACACTGACAGAAAGTGTGCTGTGTGTGGCCCACCGTGTAAAATGACCTGTTGGGATGTGTTGTGCTTCACACGGACTCTGCCTTCACCAACTAGATGCTCATTGTCAGGGAGATCTGACTGACTGATGCATGTGGATGACAGAAATATAAAGCAGGCTTGTGTTAGAGACACGCAGAGCTGCGATCCTTGTGAAGAAGGCTGCCACCAAAGCTAGCTTTATTCTCAGCATACCTAACGTCTATAATCTTGTCTTTATGTTAGAATTGTACTGATAGCACAGGTCTGCAGCCAAAAACCAAGCTTTTTGACTGGTCTCTCATAGACTTGTACTGAAACCGGGAAAAAATTGCATGTGGTCAGATAGATTAGATTTTTCCTAACAGCCGCCCTCTGCTTTCATTCCTGCTTTGCACACTCTTGGCTCTCTCTCCATGAGCTTCATGAGGTCGTCACCTGAAGTGGTTTCCAACAGTCTGGAAGGAGTTCAGAGATGCTGAGCACCTGTTGGATCCATCTCATCCCAAACCATCTCAGTGGGTGGAGGCCAGGCCTCCATCACTCTCCTTCTTGGTCAAACAGCCCTCACACAGCCTGCATGTGTGTTTGGGGTCATTGTGCTGTCCTGGCATGTGGCTGCAGGATGCTGTGGTAGCCATGCTGGGTCAGTCTGCCTTCAGCTTGGAATAAATCCCCAACAGTGTCCCCAGCAACACCCCCACACCTCACACCTGGTCCTCCATGCTCCACAGTGGGAACCAGGGCTGTGCGATATGACCAAAGTCTCATATCCTGATATCAGACATCCATCGTCCGGTAACGATATAAATCACAAACATGTAACATTTTCTGTAAAGTCTGTGAATCTCGGGCAGCTCGACCTGCGTGAAGTGTTTCCAGCTGTGCGTCGTGTAGCTGAGTCGAGTGTTTTAACGATGCATGAAACGACACATGTTTAGACACAAGTTGTAACGGCGCCGTTTTCTTTGTGAGTATTTATTACACGGCGTGCTGCGGGGAGAAGCCTGTTCTAACGTTTGAGTCTGAGCTTTATTTTTAGCACCTGGCGTCTTTTTTACTTCTCATCCATAAATAATCTGCATCTTTTATGTGATTCAGTTTATTTTGAAAAGTCTCAACAGGATCTTAAACTTTATTCTGAAAGGTTTATGTGGAACATAAACAAGCGGACACGTGATGCTGTTACTGTCGTTGTTGCTAAC